GGAGAGGGAGAGGGAGAGGGAGAAACATCAATGATGACATCACTGATCGGCTGCCTCCTGCACGCCACCTACTCAGGATCAAGCCCACAACCCAGGCCTGTGCCCAGACCAGGACTCGAACTGTCACTCCCTGGTTCAGAGGTCGATGCTCAACCACTGAGCCACAGGGGCTGGGCATGACTTTGGTCTTTAAAACACTGCTTGTTGGTGAAGTGAGCTCGTTATTCAGGGACCTGGGCCGCCCTGGGGCATCTGCTCAGGCCGGGCTCAGGGAACATGGCGAGTGTGTGCTAGGGCCTCCGTGGAGGACATGGCGCTAGTGACACAAGCAGGCACAGGCGCAGAGACACCCCGTGACCTGACTTACACGGGGAATCTTTAAACACATCAGATACCGAGAGGCGGGGAGCAGAGCCGTGGTTCCGGGGGAAGGGGGGCGGAGAATGTAGGTCAGAGGGACAGAGCTGCAGTTATGTGGGGCGGACAGGGCTAGAGACCTAACGTACGGCAGGCACTTAGAGCTGATCAGACCCTTGAATACCTGAAATGTGCTAAGAGACTGGATTTCAGGAGCTCTCATCACAAAAGAAACATGTCAGCCCGGCCGGTGTGCCTCAGTGGTTGAGCATCAGCCTAGGAACCAGGAGGTCACGGTTCGATTCCCGGTCAGGGCTCGTGCCCGGGGTTGTGGGCTCGATCCCCAGTGTGAGGCGTGCAGGAGGCAGCCGGTCCATGATTCTCTCTCATCATTGATGTTTCTCTCTCTCTCCCTCTCCCTTCCTCTCTGAAACCAATAAAAACATATTTAAAACACAAAAGAAATGCGCTCGCTCTGCGGGGGGGGCAGCTCCGTGAGGAGGCAGCTCCGTGAGGAGGCTGTGCTCGCTGGCTGGGCTGTCGGCTTGTTGCTGGTATGTGTGTGTTGCACACCTTAGGGATATGCAATATTTTTTTAATGAGAAGTGAAAGACGCATCTATCTCCGGGAGAGCGAGCGACCCCCGAGGCGGCCCCCGCGAGTAGGTTAGCGTCTGCGTGGGGAAGGACGGCAGAGCTGGCCGTCTCCGGGCAGC